TGAGAGGAAAGAGGTAAGAGAGGACTGGGGAAAGGACAGAGGAAGTCAGACTGGAACGTTCCGAGAGCTCTAAATGGGGTCCTCTACTCCCAAAATACTGAATGCTCCTTCCCCGGCTAGCGGGACCTCCAAAAGCAGAACAGGAATGTTCAGGTGAGGGAGCCCCTAGAGCCTCACAGAAGAAGATGAGAACGTGGCCCTAACTGTGAGGCCCAAGAAGTGGACCGGCCCCTGCCCACAACTCCAAGTCATCACCCAAAAACCCCTGCAGTTTCCCCTGCATTTCCACTATACCAGAACCCACCACCTGCCAGTGGGCAGTCCTCCTCCAAATGGAGCCAGACAGGAAGCAGGTGACCCAGGGTGAGGCCCGTCTGCCCCTTGGGCTCTCAAAGGTCATGGTGCCACCAGGCTGTCCGTGGGTGCTGCGGGTCCCCACCACATTAGGGGTGCAGGATATGTGCCAGCAGCGTGCACCCACTTCCTCTGCCCCCCTTGGCAGCCAAAGTCCTGGGCCCAAGAGCCTAGAGAAAGGAGCGCTGAGCAGGGCAGTAGTCCGGGGTTCAGGCATTTGACGCCCGAACCATGTCCATGGAGGTCGGTCAGCTCCCCGCAGTCCCGCGCCCGCCTCCCGAGCGGTTCCCGGGTGCGCGTGGGACCCGGCGAAGGCGCGGATGTACAGGCCGGCGCCTCCCACGCGGTCGCGCCGCCGGAGCCCCACGCCAGGCCCGGCCCGCGCCCGCCTGGCAGCGGCAGCGTAGGGGGTGTGCTTCGGAAAAGGGCGCCGCGGCGAGCGCCACCCTCCGGGGCCCGCAGGCGCTGGGCCCGGGAAGGCTGCCATCCACTAACGGGAGGCTCGATCCCCCGCCCCGCCGCGGGGCAGGGCCGGGACAGCGGCCCCACCTCCCGGCCCGCAGAGGCCCTCCGCTGCGCCCACCTTCCCTCGCCAGGCCTGGCAGCTCTGGCCCCAACCCCCCGGACCTCTGCGGCTCTGAACGCACCTGTCCCGGGAGCGACACCACCCTCGCGCCCTAGAGCACTATGAGCCGAAAACGTGTCGCCTGGCACGGGACCGGCCCCGAGCCTCGGTGTCCCCGGACGAGATACAGCGAAGCCTGGACGACCGCTCTGTAGCGCCGGCTATCAGCACACCGCGTGGCCGGGATCTCAGGCGCGAGGACCCCAGACGGGAAGAGCGTGGCCGAGCCGGGCCACCGCGCCCCATCTCCCGCAGACCCCGGCTCCGCTCACCCTCGATGGAGATGACGTGCTCCCGGATCTGGTTCTGCAGCGCCAAGTCCTCGATGCGCTCGATCAAGTCGTAGATGGCGTAGATATTGGGATGCACGGATTCGAAGCGTTGGATCTCGGCCCGGATGGCTGCCGAGTTGGAGAGCGCGAACTGCTGGGGGGGCCCGCCAGCCAGCTGCTGCGAGGGGCCTCCGCCGCCCCCGGCCCCCGGCCCCGCGCCGCCGAACTGCCCGC